GGCTGGGAGCGTCCCCAGCCTCTAGGACACAGTAGTGCCAGGAGGCCCAGGAGGAAGGCAGGTCGGGGTGGGGAAGAGGTCCGGTCACTCACTGCGGTAAAACTCGTCCTGGGCCGCCACGGTGCCCTCCATGACCTTTGGTTTGATGAGGCGAGTACAGAGCCCATCTGCGTCCGAGCTGTAGTGCTGGGGAGCGAGGGTGGGTGCTCAGAGCCACAAATCAGCACCCCACCAGCTTCCAAGCATCCCCCCATGCACCACCCAGGTCTGACCAGCAGAGGGCAGCAGAGGCTGGTCCTGCCCTACCTGGAGACACTGAGCATGGAGGACTCCCCATTTCAGGCTTGGAAGGGGCTAGGGAGTCCCCGCTCCTCACGCCACCCTCAGACCCTGGATATAGCTCCCACTCTGGGTTTCGCCAGCCCCCCAGGGCAGGGCAGACCCTGGCTTGGCCCCGACCCCAACTCCAGCCTGGTGTGCACGGAGCTCTCGCCCTGCCCTCCACTGCAAAGGTTAGCAAGGTCGGCCGGGACGGAGGCGAGACTGAGAAGGGACGCTGCCGCACTACTGCAGGCCAGGCGTGGCCAGAGCCGGCAGAGCTGGCTGGGAAGCTGGGGGACCCATGGGTGCACCTAGCCAGGGCAGAGGCAGGGCCCTCGCCTTCGGGTCTGTGGCCCCGTTACCCACATCTGGGTGTGTCGCTCTGTGAGCGGCTGCAGGGAAGTGAGCTCTGGGATCGAGACAGGTTCCAGTCCCAGCACCTGCGGCTTACAGCCGTGTGGCGCTGGCGGTCCCTAGCCTGCCTGGCCTGTGTCCTGGTCACAAACAGGGGCAATGCTGCCTCCTCGCGGTGGCACTGTGGGGCCAGAGACCCAGGCTGGCACGCAGCCGGGGAGCCATGGAGGTGCCAGGAAGTGCCCCACACCAGGTCCCCCACCAGGAGTGGGGTGGGCTGAAACCCCGTGTGTGGGCCTCACGTGTGAGGGCCCCACAGGCGGCCGGGCGCTCACCTCCACCAGCTGCATGAGGTTCTCGAAGTACACCTCGTCGTCGATGCTCAGCTTGCCGGCGTGGTGCGCGATGCGGTAGTGCTCCACCTTGCCCTCGCAGCTGACGCACAGCGTGTAGTCCCCGGGGTAGTTGGTGCTCTCCCGCACCAGGAACAGCCCCGGCTCCGGCGGGCACAGCAGCC